TAAGTCTTCCTCCAATCCTGTTAGACAATACTCTCTCCTAAATTAGAATGAGCCAAGATATTACAAGCCTATTTTCTCTATTTTCTCTATCAAAGAACCAAGGTCATTTCTATTCTAATAGAAGGGCATTTGTTGTTGTTGTCATTGTTGTTAAGTACCATGGAGTCGGTTCTGACTCATAGTTATCCTACAAATATCCCATAAAGTTGTAATTCTTTATGGGACCATAAAGCCTCATCTTTCCCCCGTAGAACAATTGATAGTTTCGAACCACTGACCTTGAGTTTAACATCCCGATTCGTAATGACTACAAAAGAAGAACATTTAGTAAGTGACAAAACATAATTCCTACTTGTTGCTATTGTTATTTGCTGATGAGTCAGTTCTGACTCATAACAATCCTGTATAGGTTTTCCAAGCAGCAGCTGGTGGGTTTGAATGTTCGACCTTGTAATTAGCAGCCCAATGCTTATATTACAACACCACACCCACTAGAAGTTTGATAAAAAGGAGCCCTCAGTTGATCAGATGAAGAAACACCTCAATCAATTCTTTCAAAGTCTATGACCCTACAAAGACACCATCGCATGCTTAGTCAGACCTCAAGACCATCAGTGCATTTTGGAAAACAGCAATTCTGCCACAATGCAATTGTGAGTGTAGCTGTGAACTATGAGGATTGTTTTAAAGTTATTCTATCAGTGTTCAAAGTATGAAAGCTATTTCTCAAAGTATTTCCTTTTGGGACCTACCTATATGCTAATCTCCTCTGGATAGACACATTGCTTTTGTTACCCTTTTTTGAGACTTGTCTTCATGGCCTGTGACCTGTCCTTCCAATTATCCTCACTGAGGGCAAATCTTCATCGTCTGATGATGTGTTTATTTTTGGAACCAGCCAAGTATCACTTGGAACCACACCAAGTGAGTAAGTAAAATCACCAACCTGAGTAGTACCTTTAATGAGTCTGAAACAAGGTATGACAGTAAAACCATAATGCAAGATTTCTTGGGTGATTTTAAAACCCATTTCCAAGGAGGAGCTCTGGGCATGCTTTGATGGAGGACAGCAGCATTGGAAAAAGTGTGTGCCAAATGCTTTGAAGGCACTGACACCCTACAATCACATTCACAATCCACAACTCTGTCCCACTTATGCTTGAATCTCTGCTTTAAATTGATCTCAACATTGGTGAGATGGGGGATGGATATATTGATTCAAAATCAGTACCAAACTGATTTTAGCCCAATTGGACAAGATGAAACATTATAAAGAGCTGGAGTCACTGAATTTTGATCTCATTACCACCTGTCCTCTCAAATTCTAAGGTTCCAGAAGAGAAAAATCTAGACAATGGCATTTTTAAAGACTAAGAAAGTAATGCTGTAGTTTAGACAGGCAAATAGATCCATAAAATCTCATGACCATCATTGTAGTTTGTACCCCAGACAGAGTAGAACAGTCCTTACACCTTAAAAAGTACAGGGCAGGGTTTAGAAAACATGACTGTCCCAAATCTTAAGCAGAAGTAAGTATGCCTGTGATATGACCATTAGATAATCATGGTAGAGAAGACTTGGGCCTATCAAGAAAAATGTGAAGTTTCAGTTCATTTTCCAGGAATTTTAAGGAAGGTAATTGCTTTTTATTTATTCCATTTATCAAGTACTGTGAATCATTCTGAAATTTACATAAGCCATAATATTATATCTGATCAACAACCCTTCAGTAAACATAATTGGGAAATCAAATCTTAACAAACAGAAAGGTTTTCCCAGCTGTCAAACGTAAACCAGGTAGATGTCATGGTTTCATTCTGGTGTCAAGATGTAAGCAAATTGAAATTGAGGTTTAAGGATACAATTTATTTTGAAAATCAAGTCTATTTCCATGGGAGAGATCATTCACAAAGTCACCAGTGGTACTTAACCATGAAGTAGAATCAGGCAGATCTTCTTAGGCCACATGCCCAACTGGAGGACTTTAAAAGTATTCAAAGGCTTCCTCCATCCTTCCCAAAACCATCTTCCCTGCTGGCCTAGTACTAAAGCCTGAAATTCTTACCATGTGACATGTGAAATATGGGCATTTAGAAACACAGTGCAAGGTATGAGGCTACTTACACGTCAATTATTATTTAATGTGTTCAAATGGCAAGGAGAGGACACGAGTAGTATAGTGAGCACACACAGTCAAGAGAATTGAGTCATGTCAAAGAGGAATGAAGCATCATCCAGAAGGAAATTACAAAGGCAGAAA